ACAACGAGCCCCAAAAATAAAAATGTGTCCAAAACATAATCGCACAAATACCCCCACAAAATATAAATCAAAATGCACACCAATGATGTGCAACCCCTTAATGCTATAAAGGCAAAATACACTAGAATGAATAAATGAAGTGTTGGGAATCATTTCCAAACACTTGACCTCGTTTTGGGCCCATACGGCTCGAAGACAGAAAAGAAATAATATAATAATAATAAAAAAATATAGTCGAAAAAGAAAAAGATGACACGGTCATCATACTTCACCTTCACCTTTCACAAGCGATGTGGGAGTATGATACCTGTAGCCTGTCAATGCGGTAACTCACCTAGTGTCTCACATCTGCTCACAGAGGTCATTACAATCAACCCCCTATGGGGCCTAACGTTCTCATTGGCCACGCTTTCAACTGTGTTCCAGCTCTGATACCATTTGTAATAGCGCGCCCTTACCCTACCCGACACAATATTGACTGCAGAGTTCTAATGGATTCACAGCCATCACGGCTATTAAATGCGTTGTATCATAGAAGGGTGTTGGACCTACAAATAGCACTTCACTTTCATCTTCTCTAGGCGATTTTAAATTATGACTCCCATAACCTGCCAATGTGGTAACTCGTTCAGTGTCTTACATTCACTCATAGAAATCATCACAGAAGGAGTGTTGCCTTAGATTAGGATCTTCCCAATTTGTTCCTTAGACAACACTCTTGTTTCCCTTAAAATAAGCTGAAGTAAAGAAACTTCTCAGAGAACACAAGATAGAAATTGCTTCTATCATTGAGACCAAAATTAAAGCCTGCAATGTTGACATGGTTCATCAGGTCATTGCCAATAATTGGAAACTCGCTCATAACTACCAATACTCTGACTTGGGAAGAATCTGGGTTCTCTGGAATCCACTCACAATTGACCTTCAAAGTACTAGACAAGCCATGCATTGCTTAGTTACACTTCTAAGCTGCAGAACAGCCTTTCATATTTCTTTCATTTATGCTGTAAATGAATACATTGAAAGAGAAACTCTCTGGGCTGATATTCACTCACACTCATCTACCATCTCAACACCTTAGATCCTTGGAGGAGACTTCAACATTATCAAATCAGCTGGAGAGAACCACAGAGGCACTGTGAAAATTACTAAAGCTATGCTGGATTTTCGTAATTGCCTTCATAATTCCAACCTTGAGGACCTCAATTACTCAGGTATTTTCCATTCTTGGTCCAACAAAAGTCTAGGTGTCTTCAATATCTCAAAAAAACTGGATAAAGTTCTTATTAATGAGCATTGGAATCACTCATTCCCATTATCCCATTGTCAGTTTCTTCCACCTGGAATTTCTGACCACAGCGCAATGATTATTAGCCTTGGTAAACCTAGACCAGAGAGGAAAGTTCTATTCAGGTTCTTTAACTACTAGAGTAAGAATGACTCTTTCTTACCACTGGTTGAATCTATTTGGAGATCTCATGTTGAAGGCTACCCTATGTTTCAAGTCATAACCAAACTCAAGAAGCTCAAGCAACCCCTTAAGAAGGAATTTTTAAAGAATTTCAATGTACTCAAAGGTGAGGTTCAGGTTGCAAAGGACTCCCTCTCTGCATGTCAGCTAGCACTTGATGCTAATCCTGATGACCACTCTCTTAGAGCACAAGAAAAGGCTCTTATTTCCACATATACCAGCCTTAGATCTTCAGAGGAGCTTACCTATAAACAGAAATCAAGGGTGGCATGGCTCAAGGAGGGGGACTCAAACACTTTATTTTTCTACAACTCAATTGCCTCCAGATTTAACAGAAACGAAATTTCCTCTATAACCACTGTCAATGGTGAGGTCCTTGATGATGTTAAAGCTATTAAGCAGGAAACTGTCTCACATTTCTAGAATGCTCTTGGAATGAACTTTCATTCTTATCCTGGATCAGCATCACTTGAACCCTTCATCCAACCAACAATCCCTCCACAATTCTTTACAATGCTGTGTTCCATTCCTACTGAAGCAGAGATCAAGAAGTGTATGTTCTCACTAAATAGTGATAAAACACCACGATCTGATGGGTACAATGCATTCTTCTTCAAGAATACTTGGTCCATAATTGGGCATAATGTTACAGCAGCAATTAAGGATTTCTTCCTTACTGGGAGGTTGCTCAAGGAGGTCAACTCAACTTACATTTCTTTGGTGCCTAAAGTATCTAATCCTTCCTCACTCAATGACTTTAGGCCAATTTCCTGCTGCTCAACTATCTACAAATGCATCTCTAAATTGCTAGCCAATAAACTCAAGCACATATTTCCTCACATCATTGGGCCCTCACAATTTGCCTTTGTTCAAGGAAGATTGATTGATGACAGCATTTTGCTTGCTCAGGAGCTCCTCAATGGTTATCATAGGCAGGGTCACTCTCCAAGGTGTATACTAAAAGTGGATTTGCAGAAGGCATTTTATTCTGTGTCTTGGGATTTCTTGTTTGATTCTCTTAAGCTCTTTGGCTTTCTTGCTCAATTCATTGCGTGGATCAAAGTATGTGTCACTTTTCCTTCATTCACCATCTCTATCAATGGTGAATTTAATGGTCACTTTAGGAGTATTAAAGGCCTGAGATAAGGAGATCCCTTGTCCCCTTTCTTGTTTGTTCTTGTTATGCAGGTGTTCTCCTCAATTGTCAACAAATTCACCTTAGAGAAGCCCTTTAAACACCAGTGAAGATGTAAAGCTATGTCCCTTACCCACTTAATTTTTGCTGATGATCTTATGCTCTTCTCCCATGGTAGCATTGCTTCAGTCCAAACTCTTAAACAACCATTGGATACTTTCTCACATCTCTCTGGCCTCAGGATGAATCACAATAAAAGTCAAGTCTTTCTTTCTGGTGTTAATTTGCAACTTGAAACTGCTATTTTATCCACCCTTGGATTTGAGAAAGGTTCCCTCCCTGTGAAGTATCTGGGGGTTCCTCTTGTCATTACAATGCTTAAGGCTACTGATTGCTGGGGGCTCATTAACAAGATAACTTCAAGAATTGCTCATTGGACAAGTAGATCACTTTCCTTTGCTGGTAGACTTCAACTCATAAGGGCAATCCTTTTCTCTACTCAGATGTATTGGAGCTCTAAATTCATCCTCTCACTAAGTATCATCTCTGAGTTAGATGCAACATTCAGATCTTTTCTTTGGTCTGGTCCATCACTTAAAAAAACAGGTTCTAAAGTGAATTGGGAAGCTTGCTGCCTTCCTAAAAGGGCTGGAGGTCTTGGTCTTCCTAACCTCTATCATTGGAATAGAGTTGCTATGATGAAGCACCTTTGGCATGTTATCAATTCCAAGGAAATGCTTTGGGTTCAATGGATCAACACTTATCTGCTTAAAGGAAGAAGTGTTTGGGAGGTAAAAACCCCAGGGCAATGTTCCTAGAACTGGAGAAAGCTCCTTCAACTTAGGTCTTCTATCAATCCTCTTGTCAAGGTGGAAATTGGAGATGGAAGCTTGTCCAATTTCTGGTTTGACAATTGGATTTCCTTTGGACCTTTACATTTACTTGTTACTCAGCAACAACTCATACAATCACGCTATGATACAAAAACTAAGTTAAGTTCATTCATCTCTGGCTCCAGCTGGTCATTTCCTTCCTCCATCACTAATATCCTACCCCAACTACTACCCTCAACATCACTTCCCACACCAGTCCCACAAAGGAAAGATAGATTTATTTGGATTCCTTCATCTAGTGGAAAATTCACAATTGCTTCTACACTTAAACTCATCAATCAGGACATACCTTTGCAGCCCTGGTCTCATCTGGTTTGGTCCAAGCTCTCAATTCCAAAACATTCATTCACACTTTGGGTTGCAATCCAAAATCGTCTGCCAACCCTCAATAGAAGATGTGCTGCTTACCTCAACACCACCACTTGCCTCCTAAGCAATAATGACTTGGAATCACACAACCATCTTTTCTTCAGCTGTCCCTATGTTAAACCCTTATGGACCTTTCTTCAAGCACGTTGTGGGTTTTACATATTGCCCTAAATTGGTCTGAATTGACCCATTGGGCTGCTCATCACTGGCGAGGCAATAATCAACCTCAGTGTAATTCCGTTTCCAAGTTAGCTCTCTCTTCTCTAGTTTATAATGTGTGGAATGAACGAAACAGGAGGCTCTTCAAGAAGAAAAGACTTTCAGCTAACTCCCTACTTCATATGACACTAGAACCTGTTCGATTGAAGCTCATGTCCTTTACCTTCATTGAATCAATCCACACCAAACGGCTGATTATGGAGTGGGATCTTCCATCCTGCGCTCTCAGACCATCACTAGAGCCTCCAGATTAAGATCCTTCACAAGGAGAAGTTTCTCCATTGCTGTCATCTGTGTATGAATGTGTTTGATTACAACGGATACTTTGTTGCCTTTGGGCTGGATTGGTTCTTGGTTGCTTTTGGGCCCAGTGGTCTACCCTTGGGCCTTGTATTTGCTTTAGGTTAGCCTGGGCTAACTAGTCAAACTTGTATTTCTTCTCAATTCAATATATTCATCTTACTTTTCAAAAAAAAAAAAAAAAAAAAAAAAAAAAAAAAAAAAAAAAAAAAACTGTTGTTCGTAGGGCTATGTTTCTTCTTCTATTTGTTGTAACGGATGGATGTTTTTAATGTTTTTGTTGGGGCACTTTCCTTTGGGCATGTTGCCGTTGGGTAGCGTAGCTTTGCTTCATGACCTCTTTCTTTTTGGGCTCAGCCTTCCTTTTGTACCGTTTTCTTTTATTTATATATTTGCTGGATCTTCCTGAATATATATATATATGGAACTTTGCCACGAATTAATATCGGTTCGAATTGTAGACTCCAGTCTATTATATTTAGCTGCTTTAGATCAAACAATTCCCAATCGTAATCTTTGTGGATTGCATCATTCAGATAATATATGAAAATTAAAAAATTTCAAAAATTTGATATATTTCTCTTTGATTAAGATCTCATTTCAGCAAGGCTAATTAAATATCGTCCAACATTGGATTTTGGCGTCAGAGACCAATCTTCTCCTCCAGCATCATCAATAAGCAAGACAAGACATACAGATCTATACACTAAAAAATAATTTCTGTACAGTTTATACAGATGATACTGAGGACCAAATTGAACCCCTACTGACATTTAATCTATCTATTCACTTATCAAAGACAAATCAATGACAATGAACAAGAAGAGAACATCTACTGTGAAGAAAATATCACAGTTAATTTGATATCATATTCACATTTTTCTGCTCGTGCTTTTTGATGCTTAATTAACACTAAAGCATCTCTCTAAAGAGGCAGAGCTAGCTGTAAATTAGGGATTAATCTTTGGGATCACAAACTAGAAACTAAAATTAAGTGGATGCATAATGCAACATTTTAGACTGAAAAAGAGTGTGAATTAAGGGTATGAAAAATTGATCAAAATTGCACCATTTAGTAACCCGGGACCAATGGTGGAGGGGGCGATGCGTACGAGGCACCAAGGTTTGGTGGAAGAACGAAGTCATCACGTGGTGGCGGTGAAAGAGATGGAGAAGTTGGCGGCGGCAAGTTTCTTATTGGGGCTGGTGGAGGCGAAGAAACTGGTGGTGGTGGAGAGTGTACTGGAGGTGGAGGTGAGAAAACTGGTGGTGGTGGAGAGTGGACAGGAGGTGGTGGTGAGTGAGGTGGTGGTGGAGGAGAGTGGACAGGAGGTGGTGGTGGAGAGTGGACAGGAGGAGGCGGTGGAGAGTGGATGGGAGGTGGTGGTGAGTGAACTGGTGGTGGAGGAGAGTGGACAGGAGGTGGTGGAGGAGAGTGGACGGGAGGTGGTGGTGGTGAGTGAACAGGCGGCGGAGGAGAATGGACTGGTGGTGGAGGAGATCTGACAGGAGGTGGTGGTGAGTGAACAGGTGGCGGAGGAGAATGGACTGGTGGTGGAGGAGATCTGACAGGAGGAGGTGGCGAGTGAACAGGTGGTGGAGGTGAGTAGACAGGTGGCGGAGGTGAGTGGACAGGTGGCGGAGGAGAATGAACTGGTGGTGGTGGAGGTGAGTAGACAGGAGGCGGTGGAGGAGAGTGGACTGGTGGTGGTGGTGAGTGCACAGGTGACGGAGGAGAGTAGACAGGAGGTGGTGGTGGAGAGTGGACAGGAGGTGATGGAGAGAGGACTGGTGGTGGTGTTATAGATTTCTTTGGTGGTGCCGGAGATGGTTTTGGTGGTGGCAGTGTCTTTTCAACTGGACTTGGATCAGTTTGTGAAGAATGTCCACCACACTTGGACTTGCCACAATCAACAGGCTTACTCAACACAGGAACACATGTGCTTTGTGTCTTTTGTCTGGGACGATCAGGCAAGCAATTGTCTATGTCATCCAACATACATTCTTTCCTAGATTGTGGCTTGCACGCTTGTCCCTCGCCATTGAAATAGTTATTGGAGAATGTGAAGTTCTTCAAGCTAGGCAAGCTGCAAATGTTATCGGGAACAACCCCGGTTAGCTTGTTGTTTGAGAGATCCAAATGCTCAACCTGTTTAAGGCCACTGAAGCTCTTAGGCAAGATACCGGTGAACAAATTAGACGCTGCAGCAAAGACTGTCACGTTCCCGAGCAACCCTATCTCGGATGGCAAACATCCTGAAAGCTCATTGTTTATCAGGACAATTTCATTCAATGTTCTCGCCATCTTACCTATGCTGCTTGGAATGCAGCCAGTGAATTTGTTATTGGCCAACACTAGGACAGACACCGGAGAGTTTCCTAGGGTTTCAGGAATGTTTGATGTGAATCGGTTGTCATTCAAGAATAATGCGTCTAGACTCTTGTTAAAGACCTCATCAGGCAACCTTCCTTCAAAGTTATTGAACCTAAGATCGAGGTACTTGAGATTAGGCATTGATAGTACAACATTTGGGAAAGGTCCAACGAAGCGGTTGTTACTGACATCGAACTCAATCACGAGCTTAAATCTATAGAAGCTCTTGGGGATAATCCCACAGAAGCGATTGGAATTGATGTGGAAAAAGGCAATGTCGGATAACAGGCCTAATTCAAGTGGGAGGTACCCGGCAATGTCACCATGGTTAAGGTCAATACCGATGACAGTATCTTGTTTCGGGTCATCAAGAGCCGGTGCACAGAACACGCCAGTGTACTTACAAACATCAGGTCCTTCCCAATTGCTAATGTGCTTCAAGGGGTCGGAATATATAGCCTTCTTCCAAGCCTGGAGCGCGATGTACGCGTTTTTAAGCCTGGGATTGGGAAAAGTGAGATTGGATTCGACGTTGAATTCCTTGTCCGGCAAGTCACCATTCTCACCGAGGGTTAAGAGCTGGCGACGAGCAATGGAGGCAGCTTCGGCATCAGATAGAGCGAAGGAGAACGAGGAGAGAGAAGAGGAGAGGAGGAGGAGAGAGAGTAATAAGAAGAGGCTGCAGCCTGAGGCCTGCATGTTGGTAGAGATTGGAATAAGCCAAACCACCTTGGGGAGCCCCAAGACTGCTTATAAGGGTTGGAAGGGTGAGGAGATCAGAGTGAGTGGAGTTGGGAGGGTTTGTTATGGAAGCCAAATAAGTTTAATTAAGAGGCCAATTTAAGAGGCCCTGCAAAAATCTCTCTAGATATATACCACATTTGACTATGCATTTCTAGGCACCACATAAATTGGGGGACACTCTCTGCCCCATATTGGAAACCTGTAATATTTTGGCTTTCTTCTCTAAATATACACTCCAAATCTTTATAAACCATCAAACCAAGTCAAACTTCTAAGCTAAAGATTTTTTTTTTTTTTAAGTAGGAGGTGCAAATTCTCACCCTTTTTACACCCTTAGTTATTGGATTGAGCGGCTACCATAGCATTCTATATGCCATAACTGAGCATGCGAATTATAGGGTTTAAATTATTGGCTAACTAAATTCTTCCGATTTAATTAATAGGTTGGGTGACATCACAAGTCAGATTTAGTTGACATTAAGGCTTTGTTTGTTTGGATGTAAAACACTTTTTAAAAAATATTTTTTTAGTTTTTGGTGTTTAGCTATCCTAAAATATTTATGAAGAAAAAAATTATTAAAACCTAACAAAATTAAGTTTTAGTACCACACCATGACCTCAAATGAGATTTACACAAAAAGGAAAAAAAATGCTAAAAGTAGAAATGGCAGTAGTTTGCAAACACAGCTTTTAATATTTCTGTTATTTTGCATATTAAACATTAGGATTGGAATAAAATCAGGGTGATTTTAGATTGATTCAATAACTCGATTGATCAATACAAAAAGGGCAAAAAAAAAAATTGAAAAAGAAAAAAGCAAATATGAATCTATTGATAATAGTATTTCCAAGTTCCTAACCAATCAGGAAAAAAAAAAGTTCCTAACCAATCTGATCTGAAAATATTTTATTAAATAAAAATAGAAAGCAGATATACTTTTAGAGCAACCCAGTGCACCCATTGTTTCCCATTCCACACTTTATATAAGGTGTGTAGCCACATCATCAACTTTATATAAAGTGTACAGTCATGTCAGCATTTGATTGCACACTTATTTTAAAGGCTCTAAGTTCTTATTGTGCACTCATTTTTTCATTGTATACTTTATTATATTATTATTTTTTAAATAATTATTTTAATCCAATATCATCCCACAATATTATTTTTTTTATTTTATATCGTTATTTCACACACATTCCCATACAATGGCCCACCACTGTGCTGCCCTTTCTGCTCAAGCCAGACGCTACTCCATTACTTAGCTGTGAAGAGTGGAGTGTGTAATATGAACTGGGCCCCACTAGTGTGTAATCCGCACAGAAACGCCATTCATTACACACAGACACACATATTATACACTTTATCTTGGCGATGGGGTTGCTCTCATTTGCGACGGTTAGTTATGTTGTTGTAAACTTACTATTTAGTTAGTTTGATTCAACAATTGAGAAAATTCGTAAGACTTTTTATGTGATGTGTGTTTGTCAGTGCATCTAATTGATCAACATTTCTGAAATGAGATTTAGCACATTTTGGTTACTGCTTAGATTAAATAATATGGGCATTAATCGAGCACAAATCCGGATCCTCTCATGCCATTTCATCATGTGACATGTCAAAATCTGGATCCTCTCATGCCATTTCATCATGTGACATGTCAAATGTCATTACATTGGCTATGCAACAATTTTATTATTGCTTATACAACTTCACATCATCTATGCAACAATTTTACATCACTTATTTAACAACTACATTACATCATTTATGCGATAACTTTTTCATATATCTGTTGCACTAATATTTTAAGATCAATTGTAGGCTCTGATCCATTGGAAAACCCCTCAAGATTTTAGACCATTGGCGGAAATGGACAGAATTATCTGTGCATTACATACATTGGCGGAAATGGACAGCCCTGATGGCTGGTGCACCGGGCATACCCAATATATTTCCTGCAAAGGGCTAGGGTCAGTTATTATGTCATAACGAGTAACTGCTTTGCTGTGGGCCCTTTTCTGGGGACTCAGGTTTGGGCCGTTTTTTTGGTCTCGTTCCGCTTCTTTTATGCTTTGTTTTTCCTATTTCACATGGGCCAATTTTGGGCCTCTCTCAGGCCCAATCCCTACAATATATTACCTCATTTCGCAGGCATGAAGTTTTGTTTCCCTTATCGAATTGGTAATTTTGGATTTGGGCCTGGGTATTTCAAATCAACTGGATTGGGCTTCTGTGCAATATGGGCTTGACTTATGCTTTACCTCTTTTCTCTGGGCCCGTTCACATGATTTCATCCTATTGGTCCTCCACCTATACAGTTGGCTTATCCTGATTGATTAAATATATATCTATATCTATATCAATATCTATATCTATACTATTCTAAAAGTGTAACAAATTTCTTAACAATTTTAGATTTTTAAAAAATATAAAATAAGTTTCATTAAATATTTTACATTAAATTTGTATTACTAACAATTATTATAATTTTTAATTCGAATTCTGTTTGGAATTCTAAAAAGTACCAAATTAATCACACTAAAAGACATCATATTATTATAATTGTTAACAATTTTGTATCTATATTCATCTATCTATATCTATGCTATTCTAAGAAATTTTATTTTTTAAAAAAATATAAAATAATTTTCATTAATTACTTTACATTAAATTTGTTTACTAACAATTATTATAATTTTTAATTCAAATTCTGTTTGGAATTCTAAAAAGTACCAAATTAACCACACTAAAAAACACCAGATTATTATAATTGTTAACAATTTTGTATCTCATATATCTACACTTAATTGTTAACTTTTATTTAGTTTGGAATTTTTTTTTTTTTTTTTACTTTAATTTAAAATGCACTAAATTTTTTCTAACACAATTATTATTTCATTGGTTATTGATGGCAAGTTTTTTTTTTTAATTTTCTATTCTAAAAGTGTAAAGGTCATTTTATTATTATTTCATGTTATAATTTTTAAATTCATTAAAACATACATTCTCTGTGGTATTAAAACAATATTATCGGTTACATTTTCGGACCCCACTTCAAATCATTCCCTTCAACCACCTTGAAAACCCTAATTCCACTAAAACACGTTCTCAATCTTATTAAATGTGTTACATTAAATTTGTTTTACTAACAATTATTAGAATTGTTAATTCGAATTTTGTTTGGAATTTTTATTCTAAAAGTGTAACAAATTTCTTAACAATTTTAGATTTTAAAAAAATATAAAATAACTTTCATTAAATATTTTACATTAAATTTGTTTTACTAACAATTATTATAATTTTTAATTTGAATTCTGTTTGGAATTCTAAAAAGTACCAAATTAATCACACTAAAAGACATCAGATTATTATAATTGTTAACAATTTTGTGTCTATATTCATCTATCTATATCTATACTATTCTATGAAATTTTTATATTTTTAAAAAATATAAAATAATTTTCATTAATTACTTTACATTAAATTTGTTTACTAACAATTATTATAATTTTTAATTCGAATTCTGTTTGGAATTCTAAAAAGTACCAAATTAACCACACTAAAAAACACCAGATTATTAGAATTGTTAACAATTTTGTATCTATATATCTACACTTAATTGTTAACTTTTATTTAGTTTGGAATTTTTTTTATTTTTTTATTTTTTATTTTACTTTAATTAAAAGTGCACTAAATTTTTTCTAACACAATTATTATTTCATTGGTTATTGATTGCAAGTTTTTTTTTCTTTTTCTTTTTTTTTTTTTAATTTTCTATTCTAAAAGTGTAAAAGTCATTTTTTATTATTATTTCATGTTATAATTTTTAAATTCATTAAAACACACATTCTATGTGGTATTAAAACAATATTATTGGTTACATTTTCAGACCCCACTTCAAATCATTCCCTTCAACCACCTTGAAAACCTTAATTCCACTAAAACAAGTCCTCAATCTTATTAAATGTGTTACATTAAATTTGTTTTACTAACAATTATTGAAATTGTTAATTCGAATTTTGTTTGGAATTCTAAAACGTACCAAATTAATCACACTAAAAGACACTAGATTATTATAAGAGAAATGATAGGTCTTCCGATCTTAATTGCCGACTCATCCCCCGAATACAATGTAGTTGAATCCCGTTGGAACTGTTAAAAAAATTCCCGTAGACATCTCTTTCTCTTCGATTCATTCTCAACCACGTTATATTCGATGATAGAGTCGGCAATTGAGGTCGGAAGATCTATCACTTCTCTTATTATAATTATTAACAATTTTGTATCTATATCTACAGTTAATTGTTAACTTCTATTTAGTTTGGAATTTTTTTTTTTTTTTTAAATTAGTTGTGTACTAAATTTTTTCTAACACAATTATTATTTCATTGGTTATTAATGGCATGTTTTTTTATCCTTTTATTTTTAAAATTTTCTATTCTAAAAGTGTAAGTCATTTTATTTATTTATTTTTATTTCTTAACATCTTATAATTTTTAAATTCATTAAAACACTGTGGTATTAAAACAATATTATGAGTTACACTTCTAGACTCCACTTCAAATCATTCCCTTCAACCACTTTGAAAACCCTAATTCCACTAAAACACGTCCTTTATCTTGTTAAATGTGTGTGTGTTTTTTTAAGGGCTTTAAGTTTAAACTCTCCGTTTTTTTTTGCTGTTTTCATAATGTGTATTTAAGGACTTCAAAGGTTTCATCATGTTGGGTTCATCCTTTTTTGCCTGCCAATGGAGTTTCAAACCAATAGAAGAAATCTTGAGTTACAAATATATGTTTCAAAAATTCATCCACCAATACCTTCAAAAACTCCTATCTAGAAATATTGGATTTTCAAATGGGTTTAAGATTCAAATAAATTATTCTGTGAAGAATGACACCAAGTAATCTGGAAAAATGAATAGTTTGATTGTTAGAAGAAAGAGAGACAAATT